TTCTCTGAAGAAGCGACTTACGATGAGGCACGAAACGTCAGAAAATCTAATTTTTCTACTCATTCGGATGCTACAAATTTATTAGTTTTTTTATAACAATCTACTCAATGCTCAATTTATTCAAAATTATCAAGTCAAACCTTGGCAAGGATACTCAGAAAGTCACTTATATTTTCATAGTTCATAATTATGTAATTTTAACATTTCATATACACAAAAGTTAAACTCATTAACAAAAATTTTGAGACTTCATTATGTTTAGAATGAAATGTGAAAAGTGTACCTTAACTACTAAGTTAATTTATCTTCATGTATGTTTATGAATATTGATTGTGAATAGAAATAATGACTGAAGTCATACTGACAAGAGATACAGAAATAAATTGAGCAATGCTTTTTCAATCTTACTACTTATAAAATATAAGTCAATCATTTGATAGTTACTATTTAGAAACCGTTTAGGTTTGTGTTATTTTTATCGCATACAACAATGTCAGTATTGATTGATATTAACAATATGTTACGTGCAAATTGGGGTTTTTTTATCGATAAACTAAGTATGTGTTTCGTGATTATTAACACTTTTCAATAAGATATATTTTGAACATTGAAATATGTATTCAATGATTCATGATAATCAACTGAACATATATAACAGCAATTCGTTGGTTCATAACATAACTTACCACCTGACCTAATAAACATGCATATCCAAGACGAAACATTGTTATTGCTTTTCACAAACGTCATAGTCTCAAAAATTCAATGATTGTTGGTTTTTCATAAGTGATGCATTATGTTAGTGTTATTAGACCTGACAGGACAACATATTACATGGATAAGTGACAGAGATATTAAAAATTTTCTTTAAAATTATCACTTGCATGGTCTTTTGGAGATTTTCGTTTATAACTGAAATCAGCATGAGAACTATTGAAAAATAGGGAGATTGAGCATTTGTTTAATCCTTCTTATGAACTCTTAATCAATGCAGTCCGACAAACCAACAACTGACAATGCTTGTGATGAGGAGTAAAAATCTTAAGTTCCATGCTGTACACTATAATAGTAAGGAATCTGAAGTGAAGATGAATAAGATATTCACTGTTCTTAAGATTTTATTGGGTCTCCAACTATCAGTTATCGATGGAAATCATTAGTTGGGTTGAATAACCGTAAGCTTTTCTCATGCCTTAATTCATGTAATTTAACGATTGGAAATATTGTGTTTACAATAATTAACGAGGAAACTTAATTTTGAACTGTTATAATTCTTAATGCAAATGATAGTGGAACATTACCACCCTGATTTTGGATATTTACACTTCTGACAGTGTAGATGGGAACACATACCACATGCCATACAGTCAATAAAGTATAATAGCTTCTTCAAAATTTATTTTATTTTTGATCTAGTAATTAATACTTGACATAAACAATTAGATCTGGGCTGTCCCAAAAAATACGACCACTATTTTCAAGATAAAGATGATCAAATATCATTAAATTGATACATACTATGTTCAGTATCCAAGTTACAACTCTCAGGGTAACCTAGGGGAAATCTCTGGACAATATCAAGGTTAAACGTAATAAATAAAATAAACTGAGCATTGATCAGATTGATAATAATCATAAAATAAAATAACATATATGTAATATCCCGATTATTAAAAAACTGAATTTCTGACGAGTAGGCCATTTCTTCAGAAAATAAATAACCAAATCAAAAATGTTTCAATTGTACAAAGAAACAAATCAATGATTTGGTTCACGCAAAAACATGCCATTCAGACCAAAAGTGATTCGATAAGATACATGAATTTGTGTATTTATGTGCATCTGCGTGGGTGTGAAAAATATGTATGATACAAGTAAATACAAAGTTGTATATTAACAGTGGATTTAAGCAAATTAAATGTAACTATTTTGGAAAATGGTGCCGATCGGTCAGACAGCTATGTCTTCCTTCTTATATATTGATGTCAACTGGATAGTTAAAAATAACGTCAAGTGCTATTGCTAATGTGATCAATAGATTCTAAAGTGCTGTGGAATTGTTACAAGGTCATCGGGAGGAGCTGCAATTTCGCTAGAAGACCGCTCAATATAAAAGATATCACAATAGACAATTTAATCTGTAGACGAAATTCTGTGAAGAGATCGTTCGTGAACGGGTAACGTTTAATAGAATCATTTTGTAAATAACAACGATTGTACAATTTAAATGGAAAATATTAATAATGATAGAAATCATTTACAAAATAAGTCTATGTTAAACAGCTTTACATTTCTAATGTATTCGAATATTTCGAAGGGTTGATTGTTTTATGGAATATTTCAATTCTGTGTAGTTTTAAGATTTGTTACAGATCTCATGACGATAAAGTCAAACTACGATCCCAATCTACAATTCAACTTTTATCCAACAACAAGCCGTCCAATTTTAGTAAATTTTTATGTTCCTTTAGTTTATTTAATTCTACTGTTAAATTTGATAACTTCTCAAAATAAATTAAGACCCAGCGAAAGTTTTGTACTGAAAGGATACGTAAAAATAAAGTCTGAATACTAATTTGAAAGTATTGGTGTACGTTAGATATAGTTCCAGTTAAATTTTTTCTAGCTAAACAGTTTAAAAATGGTAGTTCATATTGTTCATCGTCATTTCCAAATTTGAATCTGCTCTGAACTAAAAATATATTTACTGGGTTAATAAAGACGTTTTTCTGACATATTTTTTCATTCTATCAAATCCACTTTTGTTTCAACGACACTATAAGCGTTTTAATTTATCATGAGACTATTTCAATCACAACTGGATGAGGAATAGTGAAGCATCTAAAAAAGCAGTGATCTATACGAAAAAGGTAATCCAAACATATTATTTTGGTCGCTATTGTTGCGCACCTTTCTATCACTATTAGTGATCATTGTCTTACTCCCAACATGGTTGGACTTCACCAGTCACAACTTCCAACTGGGAAATCATTTTGAAGCAAGCCTTTAATTAGCGCATGACTATATTATTGTAGAAAAGTCTAGTGGAATAAATAGATGAGCACTTTTCCGGAATCTCATAATAGGTCAAGATGTCTAGAGTACCTTGGTTTTAATTTCCCCACAAAAGAAGTCACTGTGACAAATATCAGCTGCAGGATTGCTCTACTTCAACACCTAGATTGATCATAAGCATTGAAGTAGCGGGAGTTCGTCAACCACTTCTCTTTTATAGGAAATCTCACCAGCCTTAGCTGATTGGTGCTTGACGAAATCTCGGCACATCCGTAAATCTAGCTTGGCTATCTTAAGCTTATGATGTCCGATCAGCATTCTGCTCAGTGGTTTTGGAACATGGTTCTTGATCATGGGTGTCTAATAGGCGCCCTGGGTGATATAGCTCAGCATCCGTCCCAATAGCCCTAATGCTATCACTCGTTATATTTTTCTAGACTTGGAATTTTCAGTCATCTACAACGTAGGACCAGGCACATATATACATCGGTCCAAGTTGCTATATCGCATTAGCACAATAAGATGAACACCGGATTCATGGAAGTAGTTAATTCAACAGTGGTAATTTTAGAATTATTTCATTTCACTTTGTTTCACAAATCAACTTTTTGCTGTCGAATCATATTACATGTCTAAATTAAATATATTATCACTGATACTTCCATTAATTTGGCACTTATCTTTGTAATTTTAGTCTCGTATGATGTGCCAACTTGGACGGATGCAAAAATATCCCAAACTCTAAATTATCACTAAATATCTGAAAAATTAAATTATTCTTCATAAGAAACTTTCATAGAAGTAGACAGGATGATTTTATGAATAAACCACTGTTCTATTAATTTAAACAATCAAGGCAAATGAAAAAAAGACGAATTTCAGAGCTGAAAATTCAAAGATTGTAGAATTAAATCAATCATATTAAATTAATCCGTCTTCAGAAAATCAAAAAAGTATATACATGTCCCTTATATTTTTTGAGCATAACGTGCCGATAAACTAATTTAACCTGTTTCGATCTGAGGATAATTTCAACCGAAATAATTTTCACGTCTATGTAAATTAATATAGCTAATCATGGTGTTTTACTGGGGATTTTATTTTCCCTCAAGAGTAGTTGAGACGTATATTGACAAATCATATCCACTCCTACTGGATATTACTTAAGTTGAAAAGCATCGGTTTGTAGTTGGTAATTCATTTTTTCAATATTCAACGGTTAAGGACAATTGGCAGAAAAACCGGGCCTAGGTTTTGTCCTATCTGGCACTTGTCAGTATGGCATACCTGTAATGTCGGAACGCACGTCTTCGATTCCATTGCTAGCCACCATCAGCCCTTGCTTATAGATGTCGGGTTTTGAGCTCGACAAGAATGACATCTTAAGAATTTATGACGTCTTACCAAAATTATATACTACGGTACAATAGCACTAACTGAGCAAGTATTCTGGGAGGAATTTTAGTGGAAAATTTTTCACTTAACAGAAAAATGTATCGTAAATCTCCTCAATTCGACCTTGAACTTGAATTAGTACGTTTAATCAGGTGATCATTTTAAGGTGAAATATCTTTTTTATAATTGTTATACTCTACAATTTAAAGACTGATACTAACTAGTTCAGTCGTTCTTTTAAAATCTAAAATTTCAGAGAAAACATATGAAATTCTGTCGATTATTTTTACCTTTGAAAAATGAATGTCTTCTGTTCAGTTTTGTAATCAGTAAGCTTTATTGGATCCATGCATGGATCCGAAGGTTTTCAATAGTGACATTGATTCGGCATCAGTTACCACATAAATGTGACAAGTTAATTCATAAAGCTATAAACTATCGTCAAGTTGGATGGCCGACATATGTTTTGCTTACATCCCTTAGTAGCCTATTCTGTTTGACACATGAGTAGGTTCTGGGACGATTAATCAGAACGAAACGTAACAACAAACAACAACCATTGACTTTTGGTAGAAACTTCCCGGTTTTCATCTACGAACTAATTGTATTCTATGACAATCAATAAATTTATCCTTAAAATTTAAGTATTCACTTAGCATAATACACAGGAGAAATGAACAAACAACATGAATAAATACATGTATATAACGAATAGTTATGTATGTGCGCTTTCACAGTTTAACAGAACTGAATCAAACCATTAGCACAAAACACATGTATTAAATTATTACACCATAATACAATAAGTGGATCTTTATAGAGTTCAAAGAGAAACAATTAAAATAAAGATGTTAAATCATAACACTATAGGAAGTCAAAAACAAAAATTAGTTTAAGAGAAACAAAAAATCCACTTCAACTTCATGAAGTATGCTGGTAGTAAAGAAGAAAAAAAACAACCAATTTTTTTTAGAAAAAATATTATTAGTAAAGAAAACTTTGGATAGTAATAATTGATCGATTAGTTAGACAGATAAATAATTCATTGATTATAAATTACTCCTAAAGATAATGCTCTCGTTCTGTTAGCATAATTAATTGGTTCGAACTATTAATAATTATTCACATTTTTGAAATAAAATAACAAAAAGCACAGAACAAACGAGAGAGAGAAAAAAAGGGGGAAAAATAAATGTGAAACAATCAACAAATTTTGTAAAACAATCAAATTGTTAATGATGGATCATAGTGATATTAATATCATTTTTAAAATTGATCAATCTGATTACAAAATTTGTTCTTTTTTCTTTAAAAAAAAGGATACACTGAAAAGAAGAAAATACACTATATTCAGGCATAAGCCGATTAATTTATCACTACTGTTTGAACTATAAAGGCACCAAAAAAAAGAGATGAACAACTTCGTTCCCTTTTTACATAATCATCAAACCTTGAAGGTATATTATCACAAGAAAAGAAAGTATAATAACATAAACACACTTCAAAAATTATGTTCTGACTAAATTCTGAATCATTTGAAGGAATTCCTGATACGATGGAGCTGATTCTGTTTTATCTTCAACCATACAAGATAAGAAAAGTGATCTAAGATTTGACGATGAATCATGACGCATAAGAACTAAAGCATTATTAATTGGTCGACGTCTTCGAATCAGGTTTATTAGAGCAGATAACCTACGACGACCAATTGGAATAGAAGTATTATCATTAGTAATTGTATTTTGTTTTTCATTAGATAAATTAATGGGTGGTAATATGAAAGGACCACCTTGTGCAGGAAGTTGACGTGGTGATGAAATACCAAGAAGTTGACGTAAAATGTCAGAATCATTGTTTGATCCTGGAGAAACATCTTCACCACAGCCAACTAATAGTAATAAAAGTTCGCCAGTATCCAATAAAAATACACCAGATCGTGTAATATATTGAGCGGACAAGTGTAATTGACATGGTAATTGGTCAGCTTCTGAATTACTTTCACTTCCATTTGAAGAAGATGTTCCATCACAATCAGAAGGACGTTGGTCGTCATCATGATCAACTAAACGAAGACTAGCAGCTTTTTGTGCAAGGGTTGTATGAGAAGACAAAGGTTTTGAAACGAAACGATGTACAGCATATAACTTTGGATATATTAAAGTTAATAAATCAGTAGGAGGAGCAGTTTTAATTCGCTCTAGAGCAGCTGATCTATCATCTAAACGTGTTGTTACTCCAACTCTGAAAGCTTTAAAACGAAGCAAACCACAAATATACAAAGGAAGTAGTCGTAGATTCGGTGGACAAGGTAGACCGTAAGCTGTTGAGTTACTATTAAGTGTAATACCAGAAGTGGTAGCATATGCTGATAAAGCATCTGCTACAGCATTCGCTAAAGCTTCTCTAGCGTTTGAAAGACCAGAAGATATCGTTCGATCTACAGCCATTTTACTTAGAAGACAAGCTATTGCACCTTGATCTGCTCCTTGAAATACTTCAGTTGCTGTGTGTACAACTGGTAAGCACAAAGTATGTACACGAATGCGACGATCACCTTTCGATGACGTATATAATACAGCAGCCTATGAAAAGCAAATAATAGTATGGGTTTATATAAATACTTTATTATTTCCATACTTATCTATAATTTAAACAAATCTAACAACACTAAATCATTTTAAAAAGAAATAAAAATATAATTTCGAGCACGTTTAAATACGTGTAATTTTTTTATTGAGTTCCGACTAAATAAAAATTAAGATTACATTTTACGAGTTTCAGGCAAAACTGTTATCTATCAAATTGACATTATTTTATATATAGTATTTCAATAAGTGGTTATACAATAAAACACAACATTTAATGATAACGAGTCAAAATGATATATCACACTAATGTTTAGATTACAGTATAGTTTAGTGGATACTAAAATGAAATCAAGATTACTGAACGAAAAATTTCAAGCAGTGATTTCCCAGAAGAAATTCAAGTTTACATCTGATTAAAACCTGGCAAATTCATAAACTATACCGTAAATATATTATTATTATTATTGTCTAAATATTTGAAAAAGATGTAAACTAAAGAATTGGTCTCAAATAATTGGGATTTGTGTAATTATGGGAGTTTATTAGTTCAGTATGAAGTGACAAATTTACAGCACAACCAATAAGTAGTTGACACCAATAATAATATACTTTTATATTTTAACTTTGCACAAAAATTGTTTGCTGTAACATCAATGGTGAATTTTACCGACAAGTAGATAAAAAGAAAATACCACGTTATCTCATCATGTGATTCATATACGTAGTAAACATAGAATGGCATTCTTAACAAGTATCAGACAAAGTAAACATTTGAAACAAGTCTTTCAATATAAAAGAAAATTAACAAATAGTTTCAACACTAATGTGAATAATATACAGAATAACTTATTCCACAAAATGGTAAGGGGCAGTGAAAAAACAATAAAAATGAGTGATGCACCATACGACCAGACAAAGGTTAGGTTAGGTATTAAAAATAAACAAAAGTAAATACGTATACACAGCGACAATGAACAAGATTGACAAAAATGAACTTCTCTATCACCATATATAGTCAAAAATCTTAGTCAGACTAATTAATGAAGAAAGTCGTTGACATACACTATGATATCAGATTTTATAAATTGAGACTTCTGTGAGTTGCAACACAATCAAAATTTGTTTTTCAGTAAACAAACTATAAGGAATAATCATAACAAAACAATCGATCTTCAAGTTGGCGACACAATCATACTTTTTAGTATCATTAGTGCAAGATACAAAAACATAATTGTAATAAGATTTTTAGCATTACTCAACTCATCTCTACACCAGACAGTATTGTACATCGGGACAGTCTGTGTCTAGCCAAAAAACATGTCCTATCACCTCAGTCAATGAAAACTAATAGCCTCATCAAGCGGTTAGTGTTTTTCTTTTATCTAGGATCATATGCTTAACCTCAGCATTAACCAGTCCTATCATATGAGGCTAAATAATAAACACTAAAATGAAATACCATCATTGAAAGAAATTTTGAATGTGTCGATGAAACTGTACTGTACATAAATGGAATCAAAAGTCAACTGAGCTTCTTATTTCCATGTATTTTTTTACTTGAGAGTTAACCCATTGTATTACCTTTATCCATCAAACAATTTTGATCACTGGTTTAGCAACGTCTTTTAGTGCTATGAGTTCAAAATAATCAAGCTCTTTTGGGATAAGTTTTGACAAAATCTATTATTACGAAGTTTGGCAATGAGAACAAAGACGTGTTTTTCACAGCATTTGAGATTTGACAGTTACGTATGGACTTGTACTCTGACAGTCACTGGTGTTTACGCTGACACTAGAAACTAACACATTTTGGCCCAAAAAACAGCGTTATCCGTTAAGACAACCGCCCTGAATGACTTCCAATAAAATCGTCGATTTCAACAGCATAGTATATCGTTGACAGTTTATGATTGGTGATAAATCTTATATTGCAGTGACGCCCTGGTACGGCCGACGGTGGGGAGAGTCAGCTCTCTTTCTCGAAATACTCTCACAAAGCCACTGCCAAGGAAGTTCTAGTCAATGCCTTTTGCGGAGGGGTGTTTATGAAATTGAGATGACGAAAAGCGAATGTCCGGCGTTTTAACCGGGTTAGTGAACACGGAGAGTCCACCTACGGAAGTTGGAAAATCCTGATTCCTAACCAATGGTGTACATGGTCTCCAGGATCCTGAGGGAACAAATGGTGTATGAACCAATTATTGGTCACCGGCTACCATAGGACTGCATCTACTAGTGTTGCTCCACTATCTTGTGGATCAAACCTTTAGGCTGAAGGCTCCAGGTGTGACTCCTTAAGAAAACCACCTGCTTCTGTATGGACACCCGGACAGTATCACAGCCCACACATAAATCAAGTGACTTGTGTGGCGCATATGTATTCAGTGCCCCTTTGTAACAACATTTATGTGTTCAAATAATATAATAATAATAATATTTCTCTGATAAATGTTTTCATCGAAAAAGTGATTATGCAATAACCGTTTTTTCTATTAGTAGAATTACTAGTGATTTTAACTAATATCATTAGTTGTTAGCGAGAAAAATTCACCAATGTGTGGTCTGTATTTTGTTAGTTTAGCTGATTTGTAAGGAAGTGATCCACCCGCCAATTCTATTGCATTCAACACCATACTGATCTGCACCAGAGTTTTAATTTAGCGGTTTCACAGACACGGTTAAAAATACAGAAATCAGAAAAGAATCCAGGTCAATAGTGGAAAAATAGCGGGCAAATAATGAAAAATTATTCGAAATAAGTTTTAAATAATTAACTAACTTGGCAACAGACTGTAGCACATTTTTCTAAGCTTTCAGATAAATCTAACTGGACAGCATAACCAGAATCAGGGCTCACATTTGGTAAAGCAATCAAGTCCGTAGAACGTACAAAACACGAACCATGGAAAGTCTATAGTGAAAGAAAAAATTAATATTATGAAAAAGGTTAGTGTTTTACATTTCAAAAGGAAACGAACATGTTAACATGTTTCCTGATATGCGTGAAGATAGACTGCTTGTAAAATGTCTGGAAAATGATATGAGTTTGAGAGGATATACAAAGTCTGCAATGTCTCTATCTAAAGCAAAAGGGAAATGAAGATACCGCAGATTCATTCATCTAGATATGAAACTGCCAAATCGTACATACTTTTAAAATGTAACTGAAATGAGCACCTGCAAAATCCTAACCAACTCTGTATGCTGACTGCCACTATCTCTTACTTTTATTAATAAGAATGGCTTTCTCCACCATTTCAAAAATGATTTCTCTGTATTTTAAGTAACCAGTTAAAAATACAATAATCAGACTGATTTTCATCTTCACTATTCTACGTGTTTATTATTTACAAATCCTTTTAACGCTTTTCAACATTATACATGAAATACTAGGTTAACTATAGAGAAATAAAATAAAGATAAATTAAAAGTAGTACACTTGTAGTGAAGGAAGACTTGGTGGGGATATCCAATTTAGTGTTTAATACAAAATTACAGAATCTCTTCGTAAAATATGACAACTATACATTAAATACATCCTTTGCACATCTTCCATCAGTTGTCTCTTACAAACCTCATCGTTCCTTAATTCCTGTTGCTTTCAATTAAATCTTTTCAATTTTCTGCTGCCAGACATTCCCCTTGTGATTGATGTTATATACTACTTATATCTGTCAACATAGGTAGCATACACCACACACTGACAACACAATAATATACAGATGATTTTAAACTATTAGCTAATAATACTAACCTGAATAGCTAAACCTTGAGTACATCGAATACGCATAACAGCTTCAAAGCCAAGTTTTCTGGTTAAATACCGGTCGAAATCTCGACGAAATTGTTCCACTCCAACACATACATTTTTTTGTTGTTTATTAAAATCATCTGACGTAACATTAAGAACTTTACCATCAGTGTGTAATATATGTTCATCCTCATCTGGTGTATAATAAAAGTCTGGATAATGATGAACTGTTCCACTTGAATATCGACTAGCTCCAGATATTGTGGCAATGTCACAATATTGAGAATTGAAAATAAACATATCAACTCCTACCTAGAATTTCAAAAAATAGAATATATAATATGGACAAGCACAGACAAGTTTCAGTAAGGCATAATAAATATTTAGTGGACTAAACTTTATTATTATCTCTAACAATTATTGAGAATAGCTGATTTATTTTGAAATATGTAAATGATCTTATTTATTTCATCATATAATTATTCATCTGGTTCCCGTGAAATTATTAAACAAGGACGAATATTACCTATCGCACGGTTATTTTGTATTTTATCTGGTCAAAAAAAAATTTCATCCCATTTTGTCCAATGAAATGATTAGTTTTAAAATAGTAATAATTGTCTATTTTCTGAAAAGTGATATAAAAAGTAAATACTCTTCGAATGATCACCTTTTCTCCAAACTACGAACGTGACGGGAATGGGGAGATGGAAAATCCTGAAAGAGAAATTATTGTGGGGTTCAAACCAAGAGACCGATAGAAGGCTCTTTTTAAGGCTACGCATAATTTGATTTTAATTTTAATTCTTTAATTCGTTACAAATTTCATCAATAAATTACTGCTATTCGCATCCCATACACGTTCTCTACATTTGCAATGACACTTCAGCCGCCATTAAGTCTAACGTTAATTATCAATGTAATAGCTTTACAGTCGCATCTGTTCCGTTTCGTATTTTTTTGGTAACCGTACTGAGATCATTCTTATGTATTCAACAAAAATCGTTAGGTAAAATCCTGTGATTACGGGAAACGGTCACACTGTAATAATGACATATTTAGGTATAATAAACAGTGGTAGTAGTATGGCCTGCAGTTTACGCTATACTAAATCGTACTGACTCAAAACAATGAAAATGTGCTTAAATACTTGACGAGGTTATCACAGTCTTTCCTTGAACGTAATACGTAGTATTAGTAAGACATAATTATTGGTACATATGCATCATATCCGTCTCACTGAAGGTGCAAAATAAAAACACAGTCATCCAATAGTACGCATTTATTTAATCGTATACATAAACATGTACAACAAGTACTAAGCCATGTGTCCTTCACTCATGAAAACATAAGAATATGTTTAGCCGTATAATTAAAAAACCTTTATTATCTGTGTTAAGGTTAATTTGTATTCGCACTGATCGATAAGTACTATCTGTTATCTGAGTATATGTCATTATGTTAACAGTGAATTAAAGGAAATAATCATTATACTCTTTATCTGTTTCATAATAGTACATACAAACTTCAATAACACATTTTCAATATTTTTTTGGCTTGTTTAGCTGAAGAATATAGACTTTTAATTGTTATATCAAAATTAAACTTTGGTACAGCTAAATTTCAATTTATATAATTGACCTCATTCGCATTTAGCAAGTCTAATCGACCAAAAAATGAATAAGTCAGACCTAACCCTGTTTAATAATAGCACTTGATACTACCTATATTTTAATTACTTCTCGAGGATAGTTGCTATTAAAACGTTTAGCTGTTTTGGGTTTGATTATAAAATATTCCTAAATTGGTAATTAGTACATAGAATTTGTCGGTGTCCCTCTAATATGCTTAACAAAGAAATCAAATCATTTTAAAAAATGATTTCTGAAGTGATTAATAAAAAAATTGTGAAGTTCAGCACATATTACTAATATGTTGATTAAGTTACTGTACCATAAAATGAATGGTACAGAGTAGATAGTAATGAATTAGTCAACTCTAATTTTTTTATATTTCAATTATTAAGAACGTTTGCGTCTTCATTAAGGAATTGGAAAATTGAGACAATAACTTTGTCTGACTGCATACCTACAAAACATTTGTTATTGACGTTACATAGAATAAACCCAATATGATACTTCCCAAGCACAATACGTAATTTACACTGTTACATACACATGCACGCAACGTTGAGTCATTTAGACTAGTGGCCACATTGCAACTTGATCGATAGGATTCGATCTGCATTAAAAAGGACTTGAAACACATGACATTGATTACCAACCGGTTGTAAATATGCATTAAACATTTTATTAGCTTTTAGGTTTAGTAATCACTATCACAATTAAAAAACTGTCATACACGATAAATAGTTATCAGTTCTTCCCGGTTTAATTTTAATAATATGCATAGTCTTTCTCTTGTCACGATACCTGAAGACTTCAGTTCTATTTCTACCTGATCGAGGATTTAATCCCACTTTTTATCTCAATATCTATTCACAGCCAGAAGTATAGTCTGGTGGTCTAATAGATTTGATATGTCTTTTTTCAAAAGTTGCAATTTTTATCAAAACGCAGATGGAACAGTGAAGAATTTTTAAAAATCAAATTCCAATGTGAAAATGAAAATGTCGACAACCAATCAAACTACTTTATTTTACTATGATTTGAGCTAACAGATTAAAAAGATGCACAATTTACGGTCAATTACCAAATTATTACAGGCAACAAGGTGTTTGTCCACTAGCACATGAACACACACGAAGACAAGTTAGCCAATCATTTGTTTTTCAAATTTTTTTAATTACACTGGAAAAAATTTCATTATTGGGGGTTAGGAACCACAACAACCGTGCAACCCGACCGAAGCTGCTACCTTGACGCGGTGGTCGGCCTTGCCTATCGTGATGACCCAACCGAGCTATATTGGCTGGAACACATGTTCCTGTAGGTTCTACCATGCCAGACAGGTCGACTGGAGAACGGCAAGACTAAAAGCAGCAACTCAAGGTCTGAGGCCGAAGCCGTAGTGCTGACTGTAGAGGGGTGTGACAGCAGTAAGGTGTTTCCCTCGGACAACCAGCATCTACAGCGATGCTGCCTTCTCACAAGGAAGGGGTTAGAAAAGGTTGACCCTGAAAATGTCACACCCCACTTTACCTCACGGATTTCCATCTCCGGCGGTAAGGCCCTTTGAAGAACGGAGCTAACACATTAAAAACCTCCCACGAAATGGCCGTGCACGACCGGCCTCAAGCAGTTGTCCCTCGGGCTCTGGGGTCACGCTCCCAGGTCGTTAAGACCAACACTAATCCGATTTCCTCAAGAATTACCTTTCCACGGTGTGGGCAGCCGGGAAGTGACATCAGCTCTCATACGCGTAACAACATACGAGACCAAATTGGTCACAATCAAATCCTTCCTACACTTAATAATAATTGTCCTATCTCCTTGACTAACCCTTCTCACGTCACTTTATCACCTCGCACCGCTAGGGCAAACGATTCGAGTACGCGAAACGTCATTCCTGATCTCCTAAAACCACGCTCTAAACTACACGTAGGAACACTGTGCCAAATAGGACAACATGCTTCCTTAGCTAGGACTTAAGAATCTCGCGCCATCGATGTGTACTGTGTCTCCGAAACGCGCATACAGGATCCGAATAGCGCGTCATTCATTTGGCCTCACCATGTCAAAGTGACGAACCAACTCGATTCACGCTTCGTTTATCTGGAAGCCAAGATGCTGCTTGCCGCGGCCTCGCCAGCGTAGGTATAGCATTGAGTCCTAGGGCAGAACTAGCTCTCTTAGACTGGATCCCAGTAGACAGTCGTTTGTGCGCTGTCCGACTAAACGGAACAGTAAAGACTCGGAAAGATAGGGACACTCGTAGTTGACTCATCCCATCTGATTTTGAACATAACCAAAAGCAGAGTCAGCTTAAGCACAAGCTGACAAGAAGCCTACGCAATGATAGCGAACAGTGGTGGGTAGCGAAAGCAAGAGAGATGGAAAAGGCAGCGGCAATAGGTAATAACAGACAATTGTTCAGACTCGTTAAGGAAACCGGAATTAGGAACCCGACCGTTAGCGAAACAATCTCAGAGAAAGATGGACATATTATTCATTCTCAATCCAGGAGACAGGACCGATGGGCAGAACACTTTAGGGATCAGTTCAACTGGCTTTCAGCCACACTTTGGTTTCCCACGATCTCCAGTCGACCTGACTGGCAAGTTAATGTAGGTCCTCCGACTCTTGACGAAGTTGAAAAAGCTATAAGAAATCTGAAGTGAGGGAGAGCACCAGGCCCTGACAGGTTTACTCCTGAGATTTTTAAGGATGGTGATCCAGTATTAGCAATGAGACTAACTGAGGTCTTAGGTAGAATTTGGGAACTGTACGTAATCCTATCTGACTGGTCTCAATCACTGATTGTGCCAGTCTATAAGAAAGGAAAAAAGTCCACTTGTGACAATCACAGAAGAATCAGTTTGAAAAATATAGTGTCTAAAATATTAACTTCAATAATACTTTGACGCCTAATTAAGGCTCGTGAAGAGCAGACTAGAGAAAACTAGGCTGGTTTTCGACCTGGACGTGGTTGTATGGACTAGATATTCACACTACGTCAGGTTCTAGAACATAGACACACATTCAGACACCCCACAATCGTAGTATTTCTCCACCTTGAGGCAGCATTCAACTCTGTTGATAGTGAGGTTTTATGGCAATGTTTGTCACTGAAAGGAGTACCAAAGTACGTTAACCTTGTAAAGCCTCTCTACTCGAACATAACTGATCGAGTGAGAGCTTATGGAGAACTGTCATCAGAATTGATTACCTCAAGTGGTGTTCGTCAGGGCTGTCCACTCTCTCCAATCTTGCTTAACTTTGTTGTTGACGTGTTTTTAGAGATAACGCTTTCCTCATCTAAAGTTGAACTTCTACCAGGAGATTCACTTGTTGACTTAGAATATGCCGATGACACAGTTCTATTTGGTGAAGACGATGACCATTATAAGCAACAATGCAAGCATGTTCGGGATGCGATTCTCCCCCTCGAAATGCAAAATGTTGCTTCAGGATTGGGTGGCATCGTCACCCGAACTAATGATAGCGAGTGAAGTAGTTGGACCTGTCGATCGCCTCACTTATCTGAGAAGTCTCACCAGCCCTTGTGGTCTGGTGTGTGACGAAATCTCAGCACGAATACAGAAGGCTCGACTAGCCTTTGTTAACTTGCGTAATTTATGACGTAGGCGAGATATCCGTCTATCAACCAAAGGACGGGTTTACTGTGCAGCAGTTCGTTCCGTCCTACTTTATGGCAGTGAAACATGGCCGGTAAGAGTAGATGATACTCGTAGGTTACTAGTATTCGATCATAGGTGTCTTCGAAACATTGCTCGTATATCCTGGGACCATCGAGTAAGTAACGCAGTTGTTAGGACACCGGTAATAGGTAAGGATGGCAAATCAGTTGATGAAGTAGTGAAACTTCATCAGTTGATATGGCTGGGACACGTGTTACGTATGCCCGACCACCGACTGCCTCGATGTGCGATGTTTTATGGTGTAGAAGTAGGTTGGAAGAAGGTTAGGGGCGGCCAGACCGAAACATGGCACAAGTCCATGAAGTCACTGACAAGTGGTCTGAGCCATGTTGGTAGGTGTAGATTACCTGGTTGGGGACCACGAGATGATAGCAACCGATGGTTAGAGACCCTGAATGACATGGCTCAAAATCGTTTGTAATGACGCAGGTGCATCCATTCTTTATGTTCTCCCAAATTCTAATCTTCTGAATTCTCGATGTCCCTTTTTTCCTCATTCCAAATTTATTTCACGGTATTGTACTCCTTTAGTAACATCTTCAAACCCTAATCTTTCCGATTACTGCTTATACTCTTACCACCTCTACCACTACGGGATTTGGATCGACAATTGTATGTGTGTGCTAATGTTGTATGGTAACTCGAACTGATGTACGTACGTACGACGGTCTACGTTGTTACTGACTGACTGACAACCGTGCAATAATTGTCAGCTAATAAGAACTTACGTACTTCTAACTACTACATAGTATGTTAAATCTATCGTGTGGTGAATCAACGATACTTACTTACTGTCAAATTCGACTTAGACAGTGCTTCAGCTCGCGCGTATAATAGTTGAAAGTAGATCGTAGACGCATAGATTAAATAGGTGTAATAAACCGAAAATGAGGGTAAACCATGTTAAACATATATCTTTAATAAATACCAAGCAAATATGTATACCTGTTTATGTGAACAATCCAAAGCATATGTTTTATAGAAGTCAGTTGATGGGCCCAAGTGCTTCACGTCGACTGAACTCCGATCACATGGTTCTTCTCGCAAACTGAGAGCACCTGAACCAACTGTTGGTAGACAAGTAGTGAATACGGTTATCCGACCACCTACTGCACCAATCAGCTTCAGAGCAGCCTGAAAGCAGATAATCAAAAATTCACCGAAATATTTTAGGTCCAGTTTAATGACTTCGATATTTATTATTAGTAATAAAGCCACTCGAAATTAAATCAAATATTACTTCAAGCTAAATACTTTAAGGACGGCTGGGATAAGAAAATGAATATAAAATTATCAAAACATAACCATTTAATAAGAACGAAAATGACTCAAGTCCAGTGGTGTGAACACAAATGAGCTATCAACAAGCCTGTTGCTTAATAGCAACCATCTGATGCATAATTAACGCTAAACAAAATTCGCGTAACTATACTTTATCTGGAAAAGTAAAGACATTCTTGATAATGAGATTTCTGTAAACGGAAGCTGGTTATTTAAAAATTATACAATATTTGCATCTTTAGCAAATAATAAAAGATTGGTTGTAAAAGATTTGCTTTCTAGTTACTGCTTGTAGTGTTAGAAGACGGTTGAAGTCTTACTCTAAATTATAATGCTACGTTTGTACTAACAATAGAGCAAGCATTTGATCTCTAGGATAACTAAGCCAGAGGTCAATAATTTTAAGTTTTATTTAAGTATTATCACATTTGAAGTTGATTGACGTTATCGATACAGATTCCGTAGTCAGGTGAATAAATTTTGGTGCTGTTTAAAACACATTACACTATAATAAGTGCTTAGTTACTTTTTGTAAACTAATAATTTTGATATTTCATACATGTTTCCAATAAAATAACTACAACTACAATTTTATTGGTTATAGTAAAATACTTAAATAATCAATATGAGCAAACTCTACAAAAGACTAGACTTTTGAGTTCTTTTAGTACGACCCAGTTACTTTTATTATTTGATGTTTCTGGACGTTACTTCACTCGACAAGTCCCCAAATCAGAAAACGGTTGAACATTTTAAGATTTTTTCTCAAATGAAATTTTAATCTTTTCGACAGTGTTTTTCCGCTTAAAAAAATGGACTTCAACGTTTGGTAAAGTCTACCATAAAATGTATTACAAGCAAGAATAAGTGCTTTTTTATTGCTATGAACACTTTTCATGAACTATTAGTAGGAAAAAACATTGTCCCTTATTACTTATAAGGTCTGATTGTTAAAGTGACAGAGCTATCCCTTTTGTTTTAAAAATGTACCTATTGTCTAGAATAAAGAACCACTTGGAGATTTGGGATATCCGAAAGAAACCGGTTACCGAAAAAACGTTTGTGAACTGAATTGCTTGCACAAAGCTCAGTGATGTTACCTGACAGCTCAAATTAAAATAGGTGGAAAGAGGTCCAAATGCGCGATTTACTGGTTGAAAACCGAATTCTTTAACTATCTAGTCACTGCTCCTGTACCAGTAAAGTATCCAATAACTAGCATATTAAGTTAGTAAAGTATATTTCACATTAATAACAAAATTACCTGTAAAGCAGATCCGAGACAATTTCCTGTATCATTTGTACCAATAAAATTTTCAGGTAAATGCAGAAGAAAATCGCGTAGTGAATCAGCCGAATCTTCAATTCTATTAATCAAACCTTCATCATCAGGTAGAAATATTTCCTCTAAATCAGGACAAATTAACATTCTCATAGTTTCCCCTAAAGCAATCAAAAGTGAACAGAAGTTAAACAATTCAATCGATTAAGGATTACACTTAATGACTGGTGGTAAATTTTATTATAACTAGTTAGTACAAAATAACTGTTTGGACAAAACTGCATGGAATCTGGTTCACTAGTAAATCGATGCTTAGTGTAGTCCGAATAAAACAGAATGTAAGCGATACGGGAAGAGATATAACTATCAAAAGGCAATTAACACAAGGGCTTGAACGAAGTATATTATTAAATAGGCAGAAAAGCATGATCACAGAAGCAAGCAAAATAATCTATCAGTATGGTTGTCCCAAATTCGTAACACAAAAAGATTGAAAGTAAAAAAGTGCATGAGAAACATTAGTCAAGCAAATAAAATAAATTATGAGCAGTGAAATGTATTGTTGTGTTTTATGTATTGCAGTTTCATCCACTGTTCCCGACCACTAGATTTCATTACTTATATAATATTGTCTAAAAATTCCATACACCACGCCGTACGAAACAATGGTTAGTGACTTCATACAACAATGACTTGTTTTCGTTTAGTTAGCCAATAGTTCCTTATTCTAATTCCCCTTAAACTGACAATACACAGAGGAATAGACTGATCTGGCATGTGTAAAACAGTAAAATCATCCAATTTGGCACAGGCTAACGTAATCGACCGAATTATATTTCGGGCCTAGAGATTGACCTAACGCAAATATTGTGGGTTAAGTAGTTTCATTATACATAAGCAATTCCGCTGGATAGAACTTGAAAGCTTCTCTGCCTTCCTCATTAAGTCATGTTAGTTTTAAAATTGTATCACTAAAGCCATCACTAGTCACTCCTGATTTATTGTCAATCATTTGACTACTTCATCAGTCACTTGATTAGGTTTAGTTACTTTACCCTGTAACATGTCTTTTATTCATTAAAATAACAAGCAGATAGAGATGAAAGTAGCAGGGTCATTTGATCTAGGAAGTATATATATGTTAAAATAATGTTAAAACTTACCGCAAAGTTTGTAATAGTGAACACTAGAATTAAAGGTCATAAAGGCTATTTGACGTCTGCAGTCACCTGGGATCCGATCAATCAACGCTTCTAAACGTTTACAAGCAAGCTGTAAATAACCAGTAGCAACCGCATTGTAACTGACGTCAAAACAGAAAAGGTAAGTAGCCGGTTGAGGAGGACGAACTGTATATTCTGAAGGCGCAATAAATTCTACAGTAGCAGAACGAATTTCAGGTCTTCTAGAAGGGTCACCATAAGTTTGAGTTCCAGGGTCATAGTAAAATTCATCTGGGATAGTATTAGCCAGAAAGCAAACACTACACCTCCAGCGTCGACCGGAATCCATAAACTGTACGAACGGGTTGATATAAGTACGACAAGATCTACAACGTACTATGGTAGTTGAACTAATAGTGTGTAGACTACTCATATCTCGAAACGGATGCATAACAAGACCAAGAGGTAAACGACACTGAGTCAAAAGTTTTGAAGTTGATGGAACATTTGTTAACGTACATCGCATCACGTCTTGATCACAATTAATCTGAAAAATCAAAACAAATCAAAAGCATAAACAAAGTACTGTAAAACCTATAAATGATGGTGAGTTTTGTTAAAATACGTAAAATTAATCAGACGACCTAAAATTAACTGAACTGAGGATACTGGAAGGATTTATAACATATACACACAAAATTATATGCATAACTATTAAACATAACCGTAATATAACGCAAGTTGAGTTTACAAAGTTCTTCAGAAAACGACTACAAAACAGTAAGGATTTGAATCCATAACTTGAAAATCATATTGATACTAAGGTGGGACTAGACACAAAAACAACGCGTGACCGTAATAGATTTACACAATTTTGGGTCTTCACAGAAGGATAGACTATAGTATTCAACTTTATAAGTGACCATATATTTACAAGGACGTTATACACTAACTATTCAGGGCAATTTTCAAAATTCTATCAAAACGTTCAAAACTTAGTTTCATTAAGACCAAGAAAATAAGTGTACACAGACTACACAAAAATGTAGTTCCTGATGAGGTGACTAAGCGTAGCAAAAAATTCACAATCATGGCTCCTAAAACAACACACTCCGATAAGGGAAACTGTAGGCGCTAATTAGATTACTCCACACAATATCAGGCTTCCCAATATTAAACAGACAAAATGAAGTAATTAATAGGATGACAAAGATGTCCAGTCATATCTATAAACCATCTGAATAAAACAAATGCAAGTATTGAACCCTATTCTGATTAAAAAGGGCTGCATATGCGAACATATTACAGTGCTTAAGAATCTAATCTCGATAACCGTTTGATGATCACCAATCAACTATATGCCCAAGCATTTGTCTAAGTACATCAGATATTCAACAAGAATATCATTTTAATAATTAACAATGAAGTCATTATATTCACCGACTACCATCCCCAAGGATTTCTGCTGATAACCCCTTAGGATTAGTCACTCTCGGGTCAAAAAATACCCTGCTTACTGGAGTAGTCAATGCAGGTTTGGGTGGTAGATCAGGTCCATCTGATGGTAACAAACAACGTTCTTGAAGAAGGTTGATTGGTGTTTTTAAACTGTTCCAGTCAGATACAGACGCTGCAGTTCCTGGTATTCGAAAAACACCGGATTGTTCATAAGCTGTATGTCGAGGTGTGGCAGACTGTAGCGTATTTCCAGGTCTTGGAAGAGGTGGTTGTGGGTGATTTTGATGTGTTGTATTATTGGTCATCATGGGAACTGGAGGTAATGGTGGAGTCATTCCATACGATCCGATAGAATTCGAAATCGCATGCGCCTCATTCGTGACATGGGGTGGGTAGAGACTAGGCGATTTAACAGATGGGTCCATATTATAAGCTGTTGTGGAAGGTAGTACATTCTGTCCAGGAGTAAGTGTTCTTGGATTTGTGGGCAACACGGGACTAGGTTTATCAAATTGAGGATTAAGAGATGAATGCTGTTGTTGCTCACCATAAACTTGAGAAACTGCCTGCATGTTGGTAAACTCTGATGTGGGGTGACCACCTGAATTTAACGGGACAGATGAACGACACTCGAAGTTCGGAGGCTGAGAATAACCAGTGTAGTCACACACTGAAGTAGAACCACCTTGTGAAGTATAGACCTGATTATTTTCCATAATAGGTGAATGTAGGGGACTATAAACCGACGGATTGTATTGATTAGATGCATTAAAATCCGAGTAAGAACTTGCATGAAAGGGTGAATTGGAAATAGTATTTGTGGTTGGAAAAGACTGCAAATATGGATTTGTTTCATATGGCCGAGGCGGATGAAGAAAACCTGTAATACAAAAAAACATGAAATAAAGTACAAGAAGACAATCTTTGGACGAAATCGAGTAGGTCTTACAATCTGTATGGATATTTAGTGAATGATTCAAAAGAAGAAATAAAAAACCGACTGCTTAGATACATTTAACTGGTCAGCTGAAACATAAAACAATTCATTAATCTCAAAATGTCAACACAGCTCAACAAACAAAACAAACCACATAATGGACTATGGATCAGACTTGAATGTGACACTTGATTATATCACCAACCTGCTTGGAACCATGGCAATTAAGTGAATATAAACTTGTGATCCAATATGTGTTAGGTCTCACACGTATAAACACTTCTGCCTAACAGTAATAACACTTAAATTTCTGCACAAGCAAACTTAGCATATAGTATATCATAAGCATGCACTTGAGCGATAAATCTTCATGACCATCTCATCAAGTAATTTACGTTTGATCAACTACTTATCCTACCATTAAAACCTAGTCTTTTTTGGAGTTATGGATATGTTTTACACTATATGGTGAAATTAGGTACATTACAAAAATGTGATTATTTAGTAGTCTGTTCCCATCCTTTTGTGAACAGCATCGTATGGGGGGGCAATAAATAAAATATATTTTATAGCAACGAACGTCAATGGCACATTTCAAAGTAAATAAAGAGGTTTAAATGTATCTAATATGTTATATATATATGTTACCTGATGTAGGCCTGGTGGTGGGTATGTACGCTGAATTCGTATTATTGGTAGTAACAGGCAGACCATTTATACCATAATCAGGTGGAGTTGCTGATACAAGCTGTGGAACCGAGCAATTTAGTTGCTGATTTTGAGTTCCTGAAGGAATAGTGAATAACCCAGATGATGGTGTAGAATTCTGAAAGGATTGATTTGAATTACGTCCTTCCATACAATTGAGAGTATCAGGATAAACCGGATATTGATAAAGATCTGTTGTTGATTGTGTTAATCCCCGATTAGCCTAAAATACACAAGTAAAGAGTCGTTTAGACTTAAAAATGATCAAATACTTGTGAAGTGAAAACGCGATAATACTAGATCTGGTCCAGTTAGTACAAATTGGATAGCCAGCTAGTGTTAATAGTCACTACATCTTTTGTGTACATCAATACTTAGTACAGGAGTTTATACTTAGTATATGAGCTATATCAGTGAACGAATTTGAGATGGTTTCAACAGACAAGTCATACTATGCTGGTTTGCAAATGAACAGGAAACAACAACTGCAAATAACAACAGTGACTTGTTAATCCACACAATCGATGTCCTCGCAAGGGTATGTTTTTTTAAAGTTAAGATTTCTTTCGAAAACTTCACACTATTAGCCACACCTAAGACGAGGATAAATTCTGTCATAATTCCTAATTGAGCAATTTATTACAAGGAGTATATAAGTAGGAACGAGGAATGGTGAAGCGACAGTCTAATGTTTGAAACGTTTGTCTTCCAACAACTAGGTTGCAATTTTAAATAATGTTCCGTCTATTAGGATTTTAGAAGCCAAGTAGTACTAACAACCTAAATATTCTAAGCATGCTTGTAGACATATTTTCACTCAAGAACACAAACTGATAGAACAGATTACTGAAACCAAAAGGTTCAAACGGAGAGAAACGTGGATTACGAAAAAAATGCATGAAAATTTGTTTATTTGGTAACAAACGCCATAAAATACTTGAAAACAGCTGACATATTTCTACGGAGAAGCAAATTATAAGATTTGGTGATAAATGAAATTCATTCTAATCAAAATTATTTTGACGGTAATCTATCTTGAGCTTCAGATTTTTTCTAACTTTCACTTTACGTATGACCAGTTTTACTCTTAGGTCTCAGTTGTTATCATGCAGACCGCCATACTTACCTCAGAGCTTTCAAAGATGATGAATAGCTAGTCAACAAAATAGATTTATCCAGCATTCATCAATGTAATTAGTTGGACGGACAAAGTAAACCAGTTTGCTGTGAAATGCATCTATAGTCATGAAGAGTGGAAAATACGTGGTCATAGATATCCGATAGCAACTTTACCTAATATTGGCGCCTAACGGACCTACCGAATAAGAAATAACGGAGAGCTATGAGAGGAATGTCATTGGAAGTTGCTAGTTCGTACTGACTTGGATAACTGGGTAGCATCATATGTCCCTAACAAAAGTCTAGTCCTATATATGAAGTTGATTTAAAGAAAACTAGGTTGAGTGGCACCGGGGTATGAATTTACTGCTTGTTATTTTAAATCACGTGGAGTATAAGCTGTCCGGATAGTCCTAGTTTAGTGGTTGCGAACGTTGAATGACCCGGGAGAAAAAGGAATGCGACGATACAAATCAACTCACTTGTTTGAAATATTACCACCAGATTAAAGGGCAGTGAACCCCAATCAGTCAGTCAGCTACAACACAGCGAGCCCCTGGCCTTTTCGTATCAGTCACAAAGAAATAATTTGAATGAAATAAAATAAAACAAGTACTCGAACCCACATCTGCTGCGATTGGAGACTGTACTGTTAGATAATATTGGAGGGTATATGATCACAACACTCAGGTAGTTGGAGTAGGTTAGGTTCCCAAAACAAAAGCGAAATGTTGTAGGTACCTAATTAAAATGACACCAAAAACTCGCCAGTCTCTGTATATCCTATTGCAAAGTGGCGCTGTGCCACCGCCTAAAACGATGTGGTAGTTTGTGCCCTTACGGTCAACACAAATATGTAAAATTACCTTTCGAACGTCAAAGAGAAAATATAGATGTTTCACTGAGAATAGCAGTAGCGTCAGTACATGTGTAAGATTTCGGTTTAACGAAGAGAAAAACTATATATCAGAAGTACTTTTGAACTTATGGACTGGAAGGATGCAATCGCCACTCTTATACATAAAGCCGGATCAAAATAACTTCCATCAAACTACAGACCTGTCAGCCTCGCCAGTACCGTAGTTAAAATATTGGAAAGAATAGTCAAAAAGGCAATAATGACATTTGTGGAAACTAATGACTTGCTAAATGGCGAACAACATGGTTTCAGAAAGGGTTTATCTTGCACAACAAACCTCCTTATAGCAAGGGAGCATTCGATAAAGACGCTAAACAACGGTAACTCACTGGATATTGTCTACATAGACTTCAGTAAGGCATATGACAAGGTGCCAACAAACAGACTGCTATTGACGTTAGAAAATCCTGATATTGCCGAACCTCTCTTAAAATGGCTTAAAGATTTCCTAGTAGGTTATAGACAGGAAGTAAGAATAAATTCCAAGTGCTCCACTTGGAAACCAGTACTTAGTGGAGTACCTAGGGTTTTTTTACTTTTTATACCATATATAAATGATCTTCCAAGTATAGTAGAGTCCCCAGTGTTATTTTACGCTGACGATGTAAAAATCTGGTGAGAAATAACGCAAGACGCAGATGCATGCGCACTTCAGGCAGACTTAAATATTGTGATTAACCGGTCTAAGCAGTGGCTGACATCCATCAACGCGGCAAAATGTCTACAGGCATTTTGGGGACACACAGGTTAATAGGTGCAACATAGGGGAAGTGCCTGTACCCGTGGTCCGGTTTCACAAGGACCTTGCGATGACAGGAAGTCATGGTCTTATGACAACGGCCCATTGCCGGGAGGTTGTAACTAAGGAGTTTAGAACCCTATGTGCTTTAAAACGGACATTCACTAAGTTAGATACTACCATGTTCACCATAGCATATACAACCTTAGTGAGAACTAAGCTTGAGAACTGCGTTCAGGCTGCAAGCACGTTTAAAAGGTGACTCGGATATCCTTGAAAACAGTACAGAGGGAAGCTACCCATGCAATTCCAGGACTCCGGGGTTTACAGTACAAAGAGCGGCTTGAGAAGCTAGACTTGTTTTCTCTGGCCTAGAGCAAACTAAAAGGATTTACTTTTGATGTATAGGATACTAAGAAACGATTTTTGACCTGATATATTATTTTCTTTCCACTATATCGGAAAATCTCAAACGATATAGCAGGCCAGTAGAAGGGCCAAGAACTAACAAAATACCTGTGGCATAGAGGTTTTCACACCGAGTCATCAACACTTGGAACCTGTTAACCGAAGCAGTGGTGTCCGCACCTTCAGTTGAATCATTCAAGAAAAGACTGGACACTTATAGAAGTATACGAGAAAAGGAATAACATAGGCCATAGGCCTTCTGTCCTTATAAAACAAATCTGAATCTGTAGTTTGGATGTTTATAACTTGCTTTAATTTGGTTGTGCTTAAACAAAGGATAAAGGGGACGTGTCAACCGGATTGTACGGACAATAAGTGGCATGATGGCTATAAGGATCTAGATTATCTAAAGATTTGGGATTATTTAGTCGTTAATTAACAAGTATTCCTTGGAATACTTGGATCGTGGAAGTTTATCTTTTTACCGAAACACCATCAATTAAGAAGTTAGTACTTACTTCTGGGGTGCCCTCATTGTTGTTTAACAAATGCTGTTGCTTGAGTGGGCTTTCATGCGAAAAATCATTCCAGTTGGCATTTGGTATTGAATTTCTAGAGTAGTTTGCTTGTGGGAAATACGGCATTTCAGGATTATTCATGTCGTGAAGTCTGTTTGATACTTATAACTACAAATTATTGGGTTTTAATGTCAGGTACTCAAAAAATACAAGCCACTTGAATACTTCTTTGCAACTACTAACTGACTAACATACTTGATTAAATAACCCTGCAGCCGCACCACGTTAAACAACATCATTGGCAAATTAAAAATACTTGTCGCTCAATATCCAATTAAGGTTTGTAACTATGTTGAGCAAAATTACTGGCCTGTGAGCCCTATGGAATGTGTCTGGATTACAGGAGATGTTCCTTCTGCATGAAAATGTTCAGCCTTCGTTTCATTTTCTGGAAATATGAAGTAAATAATTTTTATGTGAAATTGAATTAACACGACCAATATTCGTGGTGCAGCAACTGGTCAAACGTGTGTCAAGCTAAACTCCTATTCTTGTCATGTCTACGGATTTACTCCGATGTCAAATCTAGACAACCGATCAAGTTGAGGAAATTCTCAAGTAATTTTGTCTATGCTCCTTTAAAGTTTCTTCCAAAGATTTATCCTCAGATACGTTTTCTGATAATAATAATAATGTATGATAGAGGTTTTAGACAATACAAACTACTCTGGAGTTGCCATTTTATCTTCGAAAAGATAGAAGACTTCAAAATGAGTTTAACAAGAGGAGGGTTTCCGTTTTTACTTAAGTATGTTGAGGTACTGATTCCAATCCTGATCTCTCAATAACTTTGAGAAACAAAATAATTTTTCACAAACACATAAGTTTCTGCTAGCTTTAACGGATACTAATATGTAAAGGCGCTCGGCCAAGCATACTCATACACTCAGTGCGTGATCTTAAGTGGGATGTTTCTCTTCCTTCAGATAACTATTTTGGAATTCGCAACCTCTACTACATAAATCGGCAATCGAATGTACTTCCCATAACGTAAAAAGGTACATGAAAATCATCGGAAAATCACTTATTCTGAATTGAGTACATCTTTAAAAGATACTTTAACGAGATTTATATTTGGAATTTACCATAAATATTTATTTATAGTAAAATTATCTACCAAACAGACGTCTAGCCAATGTGAAAAACACAAAAATCAGACATTCTGTATCGAAATGATTGCATTTCATTCCAGCTGCTAATGCAGTTTGTTCAAAAGCAAAAGAAAGTATAATCAATACCTGCTCTAACACCTGAGTTCAATACAAAAGTGTAAACATATTAGCAAATAATCTAAAGATCGAAAAACTGTTTGAAGCTTCACAATGACATTACGCGTAACATCTTTGTAATCGTAGTATGCCAACTAAGCCAAATCAGAAGTCAAAAATGATGGAGTTCGAAAATACATATGGAACGCTAACGACATACCGAGAAGCTTTTGATCTAGGTAGGTTGGCAGTTAAATGGAAAGAGTGCCAAGACGTATTCACTAGCGATCTGGTGAAGATGAGTGACCGAGCGCCTTCGGCTAGGCACATCCAGTAAAATTAGTACGGTGACCATCAATGTCGAACATTTACAGAACTATTTCTTTCGGGAATTTATTAGCCGCTACAGCTCACTCCCCATCAACTATGGCTGTGATGACCACAAGACGTGGACGGTCACAATTTTAAGCTCAACGAGCCTGTCGTTGGTAATCACTTATCTAATAGCTTGCCATGTTCAGCAGTGTCTGGTCGTCCGTCCCTAATATACGGGGCCATGTGCTACAACACAACAATGACAAGTATCCAATGAAAATTTCTATTCGTCGTTTTTTGTCGCTTCATCCTACAAAATTAAGCCAAAGAAATTTTAAGTGCGTATCGAAAAACACTCGCACGTGAGTAACGACACAAAACGGACGAGAATAAGAAAAGTAGACTGGTATATATATAGAATTGTGGTCTAGTTCGTCATTTTTATCGCCATAATACTGAACCTAAATTGTGTATTTGTCATCGTGTAAATACCTAATTTTTATTATCTTTTCATGTTAATTGTTGAATGGCCATTTTCCCATTTATCACATGTTCAAATTTGTGGATTGTGTGGTTGGGACCAATGCCACTACATACATGCACACTATTACCATACTGTAATGTAAAAACATTTTTGCATAATTATAGTCTTCGCGTTTTCTTAGGAAACAAATATACACACATATGTGAGTATATTAGAAAAAATGATGTTCGTTTTGGGTCTTTTCATAAAGTAATAAAAAAAATTGAAATATAACAAAATGCTGTACAGTATTCTACGCACAACAATTGTTCAAGTGTTCAGGAAACCTTATCTATTTTCCAGAGCTCGGTCTTTTGGGCCGGTTGTCAGATATCAGAGTAGTTTCTTCGTGATTATTTATTATCGGGTGATGTATAGTAGTTATGAGGCTCGTGTCGTTCGAGAATATCGTAGGAATATCAACAATACTACGGTTTCCCTCTAAATAAACAACATTAAAACGGTAGATGCTGACGTTACCATTTGTTCCATTCTACCGACTATATAGTGTTTAGGTTTGTGACGTGGATCTTTGAAAGGTCTTTCGTATACCCTTTCCGAGTGGTCGTCGTAATGAGTCGCGACATACAAAGTTGTGTGTACCATGTTGTAAGTCGAGTCGAACGAGAACACCCGTTGACTGCTATCGAGTGGAAACAGGTTTAACCAAACGCCCGGCGTTTTCATCCATGCTTGAGTAGGATTTCGGATCCTCATTCATTGAGGATGAAGGACCTACGAATACTCCTAGAAGTCGAAATGCCGTTCCCTAATCCAGTTGACCTGCAGTGAATCCAATGTCAGCTTTCACTGCATTGTGAATGCCAAATAAAACGAGCAGAATAGCGTCAAACCACTGTGAAGCATTTACTGCTGAGAGTGAAGCTTTCAACTGTCGATGAAAGCGTCCTAACAACCCGTTCGCCTGTGAATGGAAGGTGGTTGTTCGGAATTTTGTGATTCCTAGTAGTGTAGCAAGACAAAGGAAAAGTCCAGATTCGAACCAGAGTCTACGGTCTGTAGTGATAGGTGAAGAGCAGTCGAAATTTGCTACTCACCGCTTGTCGAAAGCGCAGGCCACTCTATCAGTAGTAATGTCCTTGATGCTGCTGTTTCTGGCTATCGCGTGAAGTGGTCTACACAAGTTAAGGCGTAAGAGTATCCATTTGAATCTGGTAAGAGTCCTACCAAATCCAGATGAACATGGTCAAAACGAGTGTCTGGAGTTTTAGATGAGCCTGAGGGATATTTGTCGTGTCTAATCACCTTGAATTTCTGGAAGCTCACACAGATGCGTGCACACTTCTTTACGCCTTTGTTCATACCAGGTCAGGAAAATAGTTATGTGATGAGCATGATGCTTGCTCGAACACCTGTATGCGAAAGGTTGTGCAGCGTATTGAAGACATTGCGTCGATCATGTCCCGGTAAGACTGGACGATCCATACCTTTAGATGTGTCACATTTCAAAGTTTCTTTACTTTTTCCCATATGTTTAAATACACAGTTCCAAGGTTGTCGAAGATAACTCGGACTGAACATCAATGTCTTCTTTTTGAATAAGGAAGAGCTTGAGAAGGTCGATACCCTGGAAACTGTTCTAACAGGTCATACGAGACAAGGCGTCTGCTACTACATTGTTTATCCTCGAAATATGTTTTATATCTGAAATGATCTGTGAAATATAGTCAACTTGTCGAGACTCATGACGGGAATGCTTGTCTGAATTCGGGCTTAGAGAAAAAGTAAGCATTCTACAATTCATAAATAGAGCGAATTCCTGACCTTCTATATAAAGATGAAAGCGTCAACAGCACAGTACATGGCTTGTGATCCCTTTCTGAAAATGCTATACCTCGATTCAGTGTCGACCGTCTCGAGAATAATGCTGAACGTTGACAGGTGTTGTTTACCCATTTTCACAAGACTCCTTTGATTGCTGAGTCCGAATAGTCCTCTGCGACATTAATGAGTTCTTTGATGTCCTTGTGTACACGCGTCGTTGCTTTAACTCTAATTTCCCTAACTGTAGGGAATGTCGTACAAATCGGTGAATTTCGCATCCCCGCGTGGTTGATCTGTCAAGGGTCTTATGATAGACGGGTAAGTTGATGAGAACCGTCGATAAAAACTTACCGTGAGCTCAAACGTGCGTAACCGTTTGACTGCGGTCGTTTCTGGGTAA